CTTGATAAACAATGCAATGATAAACTTGCATGCCTATTCACAGAATATTGTTAACAAAATCGATACACATCGAAGAAAATACGCAGGCTGTTGCTGCAATTTTTAAGCTTTTGATGGTTTACCGAGCCATGTGCGTGAGTCGGTAGGGCTAGTCTATGTACATCCGCCCCCTCCCTATCCCGAAGTTTTTTGGCATGTTCCAGTAGTATAGGGTATTCAACACCGCCAAATATGGCCATGGGATTGAGCTTTGTTCGATTTCAAGGAACTCAATAAAAGCCGTGTTAAAGTTTGGGCTTTTGATGGCTGACCAAACTCTGTACGTGACTCGCGATGGCCAAAGCACGTCCGTTTTTGGATACCACATTTGGATAGTTTGTTGTCTGATTCTCGAAGAAACTCAGCTCTAAAACCATGTTCCAGTAGAGTATTCAACGCCGATAAAATGTGGCCCTAGAATTGAGCTGTAAATCCGCGCTTTTGAATTCAACATTGTAAAGGCTCAGGAGGCGTGAAAGTCGCCAATGCTCTTCAATATCCTAATACAAATAGCCATAACCTCTGAAAAGCTGAAATCGTATTGGCGTTTTTGGATATTTTTGTCGAGAAAGGACAACATTTCTCGGCTATAAAGACGAGAATTTTCAACTGGGTTACAACTGGGTTGTATTTTAGCCCTTGTCAAGTCTTTCAGCTTCCAGAGTTTCAAGCAAAATTATTTTTGACGCGAAATTAGTGGGTGGTTTGTGGGAACCTCTTACAAGCCATGCTACAGCGGAACTGAAGGGTGTAGAAATGTATGACCTTTCAAAACTGACAGTCCAAGCAGGTTATCTTAACAAGACATGTGCAATTAAAGTGGCTTCTCCGAGGAAGTGATAATACCAATTGTGTCCGAGATTTGAAGTCTGCAAGTGGTAGAGAGGTACCATTGTTATAGCATATGGTCACAGCACGTGTTTGGTTGTTACCCGTTACTTGGTAACCTTAATTGCGTTGTGCGTAGATGAAGTTGTTCATCTGGATAGAGATTAGTATTTTATCAGTCTCTATTAACTGGTTACTTTAAATCTTTTAAATCAATTCTACCTCTTAGTATTTGGTGCGTCAAAAGAATGAATTCCTCATCACGAAGATACCTTTAATTATAAGGGATAACTTCCTAAACTGAATCACATTTTCCTTCACTAAACGTGTACAAAGGCTAAATACACTAAGCACGAAAGATTTAAAGAAAATAAACGTTTTCAAAAGTTCCTTAAAAATTCCACCTTGGCTTGTAATCTTATAGCTTGCAAGGTCTTTCTTTTCTATTGATTTAGTCGATAAAAATTAACCTGTTCCCATTTGCTATTAAGAGAGAAGTCTTTAACATGATTGCTTAGCTTGTTGGTCTGAGCTTTGTTTCTTCTGATATAACAAATTAAGTTTCCGTCGATCCGACATCCCACGCCGATTATCTTATAGAGGTAGGTATATTAAGTAGGTGACATAAAAGTTTCTTGTTTTCTAGAAAAATGTAACCGGCTACTTGTATATATACCGTTGACATTTAAAAATGAGTCCTGATATCCATCTTGCTGATATCTGAGTTACAAAACTCTGACATTTGATAAATTCATGTTTAAACAAAATACAATTTTTGTCATTCGTTGTACCAGTAA